CAGGCTCAGTGATACCACCCAGGCCCTGAGTTCAATCCCTAGGACCCAGAAAAAAGCAGGACTGGAGACATGGTTCAAATGGTAGAGTGCCAGCCAAGCAAGCAAGTTGAAAAAGAGCAAGGGCCCGAATTCAAACCACAGTACCACAAAAAAAATTAACAGAAAGCACTTAACTTCATATATTTTAACTCCCTAAATTTGAGATTACTATTACCACCCCTCCCCCACATACACACACTGAAGATGGAAGAAGAGAGTCAAAACTTGCCATTTTCTCAAAAAGAATTTTCCTACACCTCTATTAGTCTAAGTTAGATCTTTCTAGTACATTTTTCCCAAAGCCTATGTGGAATGACAGTTGATCACTTAGTAAGCATCTATTTAATACACTTGCCCTCTAGACTGTAGGTTCCTTGAGAACAATGAGCATGGCTTATGGCTTATTGTGTGTCTCCTATGTCCAGCAATGACTCTGGTGCTCAGGAGGTTCTCTGAACAAATTTGCTTAATGAATGAATGCTGTCAGAAGGACATATCACCCACTAGTGAGCATTACTGAACACTCACACACCACAACTGCCTATTGCTGGCTGATAATGAAGTTAGGAGCTGGCCAGCAACACACAGCTATCAATAGTGTCCCAAAGGAATTAGCTACAAAGCCAGGGCTCTAAGCCAAGTTCATGATCCCTGTGCTGGTTGCCTCTAGGCTTTTCTTCTCTTTTTTTTTTTTTAATTTTTTTATTTGTCAATTGTGGGACTTAAACTCTGGGCCTGAGTGCTGTCCTTCAGCTTTTCAGCTCAAGGATAGCGCTGTACCACTTGAGCCATAACACCACTTCCAGTTTTCAGAGTGGTTTATTGGGGATAAGAATCTCACCGAATTTCCTGCCCAGGCTGGCTTTGAACCACAATCCTCAGATCTCAGTCTCCTGAGTAGCTAGGATTACAGGCATGAACCACTGGTGCCCAGCTCTAAGTTTTGTCTCTCTACTTGCCAGCCTTGTAATTCAATGAGTTTTGTTTTGTGAAGTACAATAACTGCCCCTCCCAGTAGGATTCTCAGACTCAAGTGGGAAGTTGGTATTGGAAGTTTCTACATATTTTCCCTAGAAGACTACGATTTAAGCTTATATCCATAAGCAGCTTAAAACACTCCATCCATCAGTAAGAACTGTGTTCTAATTCATAACCTGAAGACTTTTGGCATAAAAGTTACACAAGTCCAAGACCTTAATCCAGTGTTCTTAACTGCTATGCCTCCGTTTTGTCTACCAGTATTTGTGTGTGTGTGTGTGTGTGTGTGTGTGTGTGTGTGCGCGCGCACACACACACACACACACACACATGTACCAGTACTCAGGGGCGGGGTGGGGGAGCTTGAACTCAGGGTCCTGAACTCTCACTTGACTTTTTGCTCAAGGATGGAACTCTATTACTTAAACCATTCTCCATGTCCATCTTTTTTGCTGGTTAATTGGAGATAAGAGTCTCCAGTGAACTTTTCTGTCTGGGCTGGCTTCAAACCTGATCCTCAGATCTCAGACTCTTGAGTAGGTAAGATTATAGACGTGAGCTACTAACCAGTTTTTTGTTTTGCCAGTCCTGGAACTTGAACTTGGGACCTGGGGGCTGTCCCTGAGCTTTGGTGCTCAAGGCTAGTGCTGTACCACTTGAGCCACAACACCACTTCCCGCTTTTTATGAACAGTTTATTGGAGTGTCTCATGGGCTTTCCTGCCTGGGCTGGCTTTGAACTGTGATCCTCAGATCTCAGCCTCCTGAGTAGCGAGGATTACAGGTGTGAGCCACCAGCACCCAGCTCCACCAGTATTTTTGTTGTTGTTGTTGGTCATGGGGCTTGAACTCTGGACTTGGGCGCTGTCCCTCAGCTCTTCAGCTCAAGGTGAGTGCTCTACCAATTGAGCCACAGTGCCACTTCTGATTTTCTAGTGGTTTATTGGATATGAGTCTCCCGGAGTTTCTTGCCCGGGCTGGCTTTGAACCATGAGCCTCATATCTCAGCCTCCTGAGTAGCTAGGATTATAGGCGTGAACCGTGAGCACCAGCTTCTACCAGTATTTTTAAACAAAGTTTGTGAGAGAGATAAAGGAGCTCTGGAAAGGCAGAAGATGAGATAGGATGGTTAATTCAGTTTGGGATTAGTGAAGATTAATCTTGATCATAAGATATTCATGGGAGTTTATTACTTGAATATCAAGTGATTGAGATGCAGTTTCCAAGAAAATATTGAGGCACAGGGCTACAATGTTGTGGGAAATGGGGAGAATTTCATCATCACAGGATTGGAAAGAACTTGAAGTAAGAGACTTTCTCTGGAGCCAGCCTCACTCAGCACAGCCTTCTGATACCATAATGCAGATAGCATTATGTCTAACTCCACATGTCACAGTGACAACTCAACATAGGTAGGGATATTCTTTGCCTGATTTGAGTGGTTCTCTTGTAATTCTCTATTACAATTTTTTTTAACAGCATCGTGGCCTATAAACAAGTCTCAGGGTCACAATGTGGAGACAGAACAGAGAAATGAAGGTGCTGATCTGCAAGAGCTAAGAACACCAGCAATGGCTAGGGGCCTTTGATAACTGAGAAAGGAACCAGGGAATTGGACCAAAATAACTCACTGCCCAAGAAACCATTGCTCCAGCTAGAATTGTCCTCTGCATGACTGGCTGGGGCTCTAGGGGACCCTGGTGGATGGGGGAATGCATTTCCCGGGTGATGGAAGAACCTTCTCAGCTTTCAGATGGCCCAGCTAGGCAGAGGTTAGGTTCTGTGGGTGTGGACGACACACACGGGCATCCCAGACCCTAGAGCGGTTCAGGCTCCAGTAGCAGGTGGTCAGGCCCCTTTCTTCCAGCGATTGTCTCCAGGGCTCCAACACAGATTTAGTCATATGGTGTTTACTGCAAGTTCCAGAACTCAAAGAAGGCCTGCATTTTCGGCTGCCCAAGGCCATGTGAAAGGGACATTTTGTATGAACTGTAAGTTACAACTTTCAAATTAAAAATAAAACTTTGAAAAATAAGTTAGATTTTCCTTGAATCTTTAACTGTAAACACTCAAGAGAAATGACACCTGTTAAGTTAAAAAATAAAATCTTGAAAAATAAGCATTGAGTCCTCATGAAGGAAGCACTCAGAAGAGCAACGGAGCATCCTTGGCATCAGGGCTTTTCCACTCAATCTGGTACTTTTGTGCCATGCTTTTACTTCTGGCCTTTTGCTGGTTAACTGAAGTGTCTTAGGGGTTTTTCTGCCTGGATTGGCTTTGATTCAGCTCTCAGCCTCCTGAATAGCTAGGGTTATAGGCATGAGCCACAGGCACCAAGCATCCTTGTTTTCTTTTTCTTGATACTGGAGATAGAACCTTAATCATGCTAGGCAAGTGCTTTACCACTTGAGCCACACCTATATCCTCATTAGCTTTCTTTGTGCTGGTATTAGGGCTTAAACTTAGGGTTTGGGTATTGTCCCTGAGCTTCTTTTGCCCAAGAACCAGCGCTCTACCATTCCAGCTCCATTCCAGCTTTTTGGTAGTTTATTGGAAAGAATCTCACAAATTTTCCTGTTTGAACAGCTTTGAACTGTGATCCTCAGATCTGCCTCCTGAATAGCTAGGATTACAGGTGCCCTGGCTTGGAATTACTGTCTTCTTTGCAAATGTGAAGTAAAGGGGCATATAGCTCTGTCATGGGAGGACAGAGAGGGCTTCCCAGATGTGACAAATGTTAGGAGTTGAAGCCCAGAACATCCCAGGCAGAAGGAACTGCATGCTGTAAGGCTTGAAGAAAATTTCCCCAAGACACATGAGGAGAGAAAGGAGGTAGGAGGAGAGCTGGGCATCAAGGAGGAAGGGATGGAGACTAAGACTGGAGTGGTAAAGATGGACAGCATAAGAGAGACTTTTCAAATCCATAAGTTTTATCATCTAGTGAGTGTCCATTGGATACTTCGGAGCTGCCTATAAATGATCACTTGTCTACCCATAGCCCCATGGGAAAGGCTTGTATTCATTTCCAAAATGGAAATACTGAAAGGTCAGACCTAATAAATGGAAATGCTAAGACCTCATCCTCAACCCTCTCTGACCCTGCTTTCCTGCCTTGTTTTTATGACTGTAATTTTAGATTAATGAAGTCTGCTATCAGTAGGTCAAGTCCAGTACCACTTAGAGCTCATTTCCAAACACATTCAAATACTCAAAAAACCAAGGACATTCCTTCTTACAAATTCTTTAAAAACATCATAGTAGGTAAAAAAAAATCAGAAAATGGCTTGCCTTGATCCAGTATATATATATATATATATATATATATATATATACTTTGCTATAAGATGATATGGGGGGGAGGCTGGGAAGGGATGTGAAGGGTAAACAAAGGAGGAGGCTGCAATGCTTGGTAAGAAATGTACGCATTATCCTGCCCATGTAATTGTAACGCCTCTGTACAGCATGTTCACAAATAAAATAAAATTTAAAAAAAAAGATGATATAGGAAGGAAATCTCTCATGAAACACCTGGGCGGGCCCTAGACTGCCTGCCTATCCAACCGTTATTATACAAGATAGTTTCTCCATCTCTCCAAGTTGCTGCCAATTTGTAATATGTAGGAGAGGGTAAACTGAGGTTGGGTCTATAAGGAAGAGAAAGAGGAAGATGGGTGCCAGTGGCCCTGGGCCACAAATCTGTAACTCACTTTGATAAGCTGGAAAAAGCAAAGTTAACTCACCACTAAACCAGGTTAAATGTACAACGTGGAGTTCTCTGTACACAAATAAAACTATCCTTCCAATAAAATAAAAACAACCAAGCAAAAAGGGCTAGAGGCATGACTCAAGTGGTAGAATACCTGCTTAGCAAATGCACAAATACACACACACACACACATACACAAACTTCCCATTTCTCTGTAAATTCTGATTTTTTTAGACAAATCACTTGTTTGTTTAGAGAAAATACAACAAGACAGAAAATAAAGAAAGCATATTTTATACTTTTATTGGTCCATTAAAGTTAATTGAGGTAAAGAAATTGTTTAATTTACAAGCTAATAGTTTATCAAGCAATACAAATTCTTTGTTTACCTCAAAATGTAATACTAATCCCATAGTAAACAATGAACAGAACTTTTATACATATAGATGAAAAACAGAAGTGGACAAAAACCTCATGCCGGCATCAAAAATTCAACATTTCTTTCCTCACTTATAATCTCTGGGGTTCCAAAACAATGAAAAACAGGTGACATTCTTTTTAACATCTGGTAGCTTCATAAGACAAAGACTTCGCTCTGTAAAGAAATCAGTTTCTTATCAACACACATTCTCTTAACTTTTATTTTCACAGCTTTTATTTTGGTTAATGGCAGCATGGAAGGATAGGGAAGACAGGGTGAAGAGGGGGTGGAGAGGTGGGGAGGGAGAGAGGGAGGGGAAGAGGTGGAGGGAAGGAGAGAGAGAAATAGAGAGAAACAGTTACACAGAGGACTTGACCAATACCTCAGGCCTTTCCTTTCTCTTTTAAATCTTAAATGTAAGGATTGATTTGTAAAAGTAAGAAACACAGTCCATAATGTGGACAGACCCTAAGCAAACATTTATATCTCTTCTGGTACAGTTAAAATACAAGTTAGAAAGTTTGCTGGCAGTTTGTTTCCTGGGAGTACATGGGCTGTAGGTCATCTCTCCACACATTCCTGACTCAGGGATGTAGGGAGCAGGCACACAGAAATTCAGAGGATGGGGGACTATGGGACAGACCTGACTGAGCCTCAGGGGGCATCCAGGTGGACAGTGCTGACTGTTAAGAAATGCTGGTTTGTTATCCAATGATGGCCCAGCTGCCACAGGGATATGCCTTAGTAAACCAAATATTCTGATTTGCAATCTACCTTCCCCTCTCCTCATTGCCTCACTAAGGAAAAAGCATTTCCCTCTTCCTCTTTTCAGAATCATATCCAATAAAAGGTTGGCTGGCTAAAGTCTGTGAACAAGCCTGTCCCACAGGAGTTGGGACAGGTATTAGCTGCTCTGACCTGACCTAGAGAGAGCAGAGAGTCACCTAGTGCCAGAGCAGGACTTGTGGGAGAGGCACATAGGCAACACTGCAGCACAGCGTCAACAAGTAGGCTCCACTAAAATGGACTCAATTATGCAAGTCAATAAATAGGTTTTATGTTTTTGGCATTTCAATCTGTGGCATTTCAACATACTACTCTGAGGAACCAGGGTCTCTTAAAAAGCGGATCTGTCTTTATCCATAAATTCTTTGAATGGAAATGACTCATCAATGCTGATAACATATTCTCTACAATTAGGAGGATGCCAAAAGGAACTAAATGAATTTTTCTACATTTAAAACAATAAACGGTGCTGTGGTCTCTGTGTTTCCTTACACTATTAAAAATATCATTTGGCAATAGCAATAGTTGTCACCTTCCAAAAAGGTTATCCTAATTATGACCCCCGCACCCCTTGTTTCCTTAAGGGCTGAAGACTATGCTAGATCTATAATACTGAAGCTGAATGACTGCTTACATTTCTAAAACTCTTTCTACTCAGAGCATTTTAAACACTAGTAGAAGAATAAGGCATATCAGTAGGCATTGACAAATTCTCAAAAAGCAGTTAGGCTTTTAACAGTCGGTGGTGTTTCTTTAAAATTTTGGATTTGTTGATCTTCAAGTGCTAAATACATAGAATGTGTATATGAGACAAACATTGTATTTGTTAAAAGTCAGGTTTTTTTTCATAACATTTATAGACTACCTAGAGAAGTAAAAGCTACCTGGCTAATACCACATAAAAAGGGTTGGGCAGTCATACCCAGGACATACTTCAAACACATGTGATCAAGAGAAAATAGTCTGCCCACTTGTAACACAGTCTCTACCCTACTCTGTTTGGATGCCCCTGGTATGTGCAATGGTGGAAAGATAGGTATCTTTAAAATCAAACCTGACCACCTTGCAGATTGGGTTGGTAAAAAACTGAATTCCTGGATTTTTTTACTGAGTTAAAATCAAGAAAGAGGAGAACTGTTGTTACACCCCCAGCTCCAGGTGAAGCTTAGCCCAGAAGAGGACATTTTCCTCAAATATATACATAGGTGACACATGTCATCTTAAAAGGAAAAACGCAAGCAAGGAGAGGGCACGTGTAATCTATTGCCATCTTGAGGCCTTTTGAAAGTGAGAAGGCAACCCCAAATTCCCAACATAATATTGTAAGTGAGGATGGCCAAAGCAGTGTTACCCAGCCACATAATTAGCTTGGTTTCCACAGGCCCTGGAAGTAGGCATTTGAGAAGGTGGAGTTTCAAAGTATGTGCTCTGCCCTGAAGTCTGATGACCTTCTGGGAGGAACTGCCCACTGGGGTGGGGAGGGGGGATCAGCAGCCCCATCTAGCCAGGGCAAAGCCCACTTCCAGTCCATCCCAAAACCCACACAGATGAGGCCAACACAGCTTTTTGACCTTCCTGACCTTGCTCTTCCTCCCCTCTCCATCTTAGGAAGGAGTTTAGAGAATGACTCTGAGGTAGTCCAATAACCTCATCAAAACAGCTGCCTGAACTCTCTATACCATCAGGCAGGATCAAGTCACACCAAACTGTTCCTCGGGCTACTGTCCTAACAGAGAAACCTCATTTGCCTCTGCCACATGGTCATCAGGCCTATCTCTAAAGCAGGATGACTTCCTGCCAAGCCCTCACCAAAGGCAGCCACATAGCAGTGAGCAGCAAGTATGGCTCATCCCTTCCCGGGACTGGCCAATGAACATCTAGAATATACTCCATGGGGTTGAGATTTGACATGGAAACAGACTTATCTTCATTCACTACTACAGTCAATCTATCTTTGACTACCTGCCCTCAACCTAAAGTTTCATGAAAAAGAAATATGAGAAGTCCATAACCTAGGACAGAGACTATGGCTCGGGAAGGAAGGAGTAAGAAGAGCCTCACCCAGGAGGTCTTTGGCACCTAAATCTCAAGTTAGGCTTCTCATAAGAAATCTCTTTCGTGTTTGACCAGAACGAACAAGCAAATCCTTGCTTGGTTCTGTGAGGGCCTCAGGAGCACAGAGAGCCATGGGAAGGGGGATAGGGAGCTCCTCCTTCATTGCCTATAGTCTCCTTCCTTCTGGGCCTGCCTCCTTATCTCCTCAGCTGCCAGCCTGAAGATGAGGACATGTCTCTTCTTGGGAAGGATTGTTTCTCCATGGAAGTCTGTAATGTATGTAGTTTCCTGGCTCTGCCACTGACAACAAGCCTGAAGGACAGAAAGTTTTTATTGCTCCAGCTATTCCTGTGTCTTGAAGCACAGGAATTTCATAGGAAGCAAACAAACAGAGCAAGACAAAATCTCAATGTGCCTTCAAAGATAGGCAGTCTCTCCAGAGCCAGTGATGTCTCCCATGATGAGAGGAAATGACTGGACCCCACGACCCTTCCCTTGCAGTGAACATCCCACTGCTGCTTTGAAGGGCTGCCATCTTCCTTAACTAGCCGGTACTCAGGAATGACGGGCCTTCAGCTATGTTCTAGTCTCCTCCTAACTCTTCCCACAGTTCTTTCCAAGCATCATTTTGCAAGTGTGCATTCCATAAGGCAAAACATCCAAAGATATTCCAAATATGCTGCTGCTGGATCAAGCCTGGTTTCCTGTGACCTCTGTCAATCCAGGCCTGTCAACAACCAGCTCAGATCCTGATGCCTGCCAAGGCTGGACCCACACACCCATACCACACCAACACAATGGCTTAGAGGTAGAATGAAATGGTGAGACACTGGAGATGGGGTAGGCACACGAGTTGTTCTTACCCTCTGCTCCAGTGACTCATTTCTATTTGTACCAAACTGAAAATTCACATCATAGGATTTTAGAATGGCACAGATGAAAGCAGTACAGGCAAGTACCGACTATCAGAAAAATGACCATTTCAACTGTGAATGTCAAACATGACAGAAAAAGAACAGAACTCTTCCCAGCTCTGGCTGACACACGGTCAACTCTGCTGTGACAATGGGATGAGTGACTTCAACATACTGCACACTGATTGGCCTTTACACAGGCAGTAACTGCTTCATTTAAACAAAATAAAAATAAACCTCTACCAGTTATTTGAGGCTTTTGGAGTTCTAAAGGGGTGAATGAACACATGTGATGTATGGAGTTTCTTTTCAGGAGAAAGACAATGAGCAGAAAGGTAGATCCTTTATGATTTGGTTTTGTGGTGAATTGGAAAAGGAAATCTGGTAACAGTTTGAAATGAAGACTTTAAACACAGCTGGCAGTCCCCAGGAATTTGGCTATAAATTAAGACTTCAACTACAAGCAAAGCAAGACTACACATCATCTTTGCAGCCCCTGTAGGTACTTTTCTTTCTGACCAGGAAATGTTAAGGGTTAATTAAAGCACTTTATGTAGAACATTCACACTTTAAATTGCAACTGTGTCATAACAATACGATATCAGCCCTCTCACCAAAAGGCTGCCCAAATATTTGGTAGATGTGGCAGGAAATATTAAACTAGGTATTCTTGGTGAGGTAAAGGCAAATTGCAAAAGCAGACATCGAGGGTGGACTTGGCTTAGGCCCACTACTCTCAACAACAGAGGAGTGACCCTGACTGCAAAATAACAGCTATTCCTACTAGGTCTAAGCTCGATGACAACGAACAAACAGAAGAAATACACTCAAGACCTTCACAGAGGAAAATGCACCTTTTTTTTTTTTCATTTTCCACAAAATCTTTCTGATCTACTGTATTTGGGGAGCTTTCCCCTCAGCTTCTTGAGGCATCATCGAAGGACAAGGACGCTGGCTTGCTCGCTCAAGCATGGATGCACACAGACATCTGCTTAAGTGGCCCCATGTGAACCAGAAACAAGAAAATACATGTCAGTCATCACAAAGAGGAAGCAGGCCATACTCAGGCTACAGGCCACTGTAAATTAAGGACTTCCCATGGAGGTGCTCCCGCCTCTGTCTAGGCTGAGACAAGTCAATGCCCACAGGGGTCAAGTCAGAGCCATCAGGTCTCTACAGCAAGCCACAGCTCCCTTTACTTCATGCCTCCTCGTGTTCTTGAAAAGTGGGACCTGAGTTCTCTCCCACAACAGGTAATTCTGCTGTCCCCTAAGAGGAAGCGCATGCGATGTCACAGCTGTGGGCTGTTGCTGCCCCTCGGTTTCAAGTCTTCCTAGTGTTCACCGAGGAGGTTCCTTCACAAGACGGAGGTATGCTTCTGCTGACAGATGATTATGGCCTTGCAGGCTCCACCAAGGAATAAATACTAATGGAAAACAACTGCAGGTGCAGGGGGAGGGAGAAAATACACAAACTGGAGGTGCTTCTGTGTCATTTTCCCAACGCCACCTCTCAAGCACTGCAGGGACATTCGGGTGCCATGCCCTGTGTAGGTAGCAGTCTCTGTCCCAAGGAGGCGCCTACTTGGCCTCCTGCTTCTCCTGTAGCAGTGGAATAACTGACTCCCACGCCATGAGGCACTGAAACGACAACAGTCACAGGATCAGCACCAAGCCCGGTCTCACGGCCAGCTTCCTTGTGTGGCCTGCTCTAGGCTCACATGGCCAGTCCTGCCAGCCACCTTGGTCTTAGTGGCTCCCACATGTGTTCTCCACACCACTGTCAACAAGGGAGGTCGTTTGTCTGGGATGTGTCTCCTCTATCTTTATGAAAGACAACCGTGTCCCTAACAAGGCTTACATGCTGCCATGACAGTACATGAAGCTTGCAGCCAGTGAGTGGAAATGGATCCACTGGGAGAAAAATCTTTCCCTTGAAAAAGAATGAACAACCCTGGCAGAAACTCTTGATGAGATCTAGAGGTTGTCAGGACGGATAGTGCAAGGTATAAATAGGGCTTGCACAAGATGGGCCAGCCACCTGAGTCAGAGGGGGTGCCTCTGCTCTGCCTCACCAGCCTTGAATTTGCTTATTTGAGCCACACTTGGATCTCTCAAAATAGAGACTGGGGAAGGAAGCCCCAACAACTGCGTTTTATTATGTCCACATACTGTTGTTAAACATTATATTTACCTTGCAATTCATGGTTCTAACATGAATTCAAACTGAGGTTCTTCCACCACATTATGCTCTTTTCATTCCAGATCCTGTGATAGGCCAGGAGCTTGGAAGATGCTAGCCCGGCCTCTAACTGGCCTCTTTTACAAGGGAGGGCTAGGTCAACAGATTAGATGAAGAAACAGAGGTATGGAGAGGGACCTTGCCTCAAAGCACAGCCAGTTGTGGAACAGCCTGTTCCTGAGTGGTGCTGGGCATAGCCACATGGTGATGATACATGGGAACCATCCAAAGTTTGTGGACCCATCACTTCTATATCCTCGTTCATCCACTTACAGCCTGTGTCACCTTGGACAGTTTTTAAACCTGGCTGAGTCTTGGTTTCTTCAGCTTTCAAATGAGGATCATAAAACCCCCTTGACTGTAACAGTTGAGAGTTAATTTTATGCACATGTAAAGCATCCAGTCCAGAGCCCACTTGGAACCATAGCAGGGTTCCATGAAAATGGCAGTGAGAAGACGAGCAGGCCACTTGTCTTCTTAGGCTTTGAACAGCTCTTCCCCAACACCTGGTGGGTCAGGGAACTTGGAAAGGTGCAGACACACCACCTCTGAACAATAGCTAAACCAATTAAGTCCTGAACAATAGCTAAACCAATTAAGTCCGCAGAACAGGTAGGTTCTTCTAGGAATGTGGTAAAGGGGTGGAGTTGGCATCGGTAAATACACTGACAGGTGATTCTGTTTCCAAAAGTTTGACTTTAAGGCTGTTACTTGTTAACTGTGATCAGGCCTTTTCGGGGGGCAATACTGGAGCTTGTACTCAAGGCCATGTGCTTTCTAACCAACACTACCAACTGATCATGCCAACCAGCACTTTATTTGCTTTAGTTATTACAATTTTGCACGTGGTTGGCCTCTGCTATGATCCTCCTGCAGTATCTCTTGAAGTACCACACCCAACTTATTCTTTGAGATCGGGTCTCACTAGTATTTTGCCCAAGTTGACCCTGAACTGAAATATTTTCTATCTCTGCCTCCAAAGTAGCTGAGACTACAGATATGTATCACTGTGCCTGATTCAATTAGACAACTCTAACTTTAGGCCTTTAAAGGATATCGGGATTCATGGGAGAAATGATTTAGAGGCAAACCTTGATTGAGGAGGGGGCCACTGTAACTTGATGGGAGTTGTGTATATGGGTATGTGTGAGTACTTACCCTGAGGTCCACAGGTCTCGGAAACACATGAATAAAAATGTTAATGGAATTGCTTTCCTTTGTACTCCTATATGCCTTTATTGTAGGTATAGAGAAGCAGTACTTTAAAATCTATTATAAAGGCAGACAATGCTGTGAAAGAGGGCCTATCCACCTCGCTAGATGACTGAAGGGTCCCCAGCACAACAAAAATGATGAATCTGTGCATGGAAACACAGGCAGGGTCAATTAAGCCCAAACTACCACTAACTGGCTGCTTCCCTGCACAGGAGGCCTGACTTTAGGAAGCAGCCATCTGCTAGGACCAAACTGCAGGAGATGAAATGCTCCTCTTCTAGCAGGTGTGCAAGGAAGAGCCTGCAAGTACCCTGCCTCTGCGTGAGTGAGGGTGCAGGGAAACAGGTGGGTTTGGAAGGCTCTGGCTATAAAGTCCGGTCTTGTTGGGCTCACTATTTACCTTCTCATAATATTGGATGTTCTTGTCAGCCAAACCCATGAGCAGCTGCCGGAAGTCCTGCCGCTTGTTGTTCTGCCATCTCTCCATGTCGGCTTTCAGGTCAGCATTGAAGCACTCCATCCGATCCTGACATTTCTCCACCTCTGCTGGCACCTGGAAGGGGAGGAAGACGTAGGGGCTTTGTATGTGGGACTGGCTTCTCCTGCCTCAAGTGCCAAAATGCTATATTAAAATACCATCCACATGCCTTTTCCTCTGGGGGCATCTATTTGAATGAAATCTTGGGTTTGGAGGTCTAAGAAGTTGTGAAAACAAAGCAGTATTCTTACCCAATCTTCATACCCATCTAGCACATGAGAACTACATGAGGATCCACCCTCTTCTCTCAATTACAAATGGAAAGGAAATAATTCTGCAGCTCAGAGTCAGATGTCTCTGGTTCCTTTTAGATTTACTCTCCATACTTAAAAGTGAGCACAAACTCTGCACACACAGCCAAGCTGTGCATGATCCACTGTTTTCCTGTATCTCAGCAGAACTAGAAGTTAGGTATTCCCAAATCATGTGAACTATTCCAATACTTGTGATATCTGAAATCTTTTCCTTATTCATCAGAGAATTAACTGCAGCAAGAAGACCACTGGCCAGCTTCCTCCCCCAAACTCCACATTATAAATCAATTATAGACTTAATAGCAGATAATCAGAAAGAACTACAGTTAAGTAAATCTAACAAAATGACAGAAAAATTACTTATGTGAATCCAAAGAATTTGAAATACCAAGAAGAAAAATAAAACAGGTTAAAAAACAACAACAACAACAACAGGTCGTCTCAAGGTTTTCTTAAAGAGGTTCAGAAGAGTTTCTTGAAAGGGAACTATTACCAGTTGAACTTCACAACTTTCACTTTTCTGTGGTGAGTTTCAACCATCCCACAGGGCTACAGGCCCTACTGGTCACAGAATCAGCTTCTGTCCTAATCCAAGTGTTCTGCTCGGCCTTCATGATGGCCATGGGTGAAGACACCCACACCCTTGCAGCAAATGAGCTAGGGGTCGCCACCAGCGGTCAATCTCAATCATCCAAGGAAGCTGACTTAACTCCCTAACTTTCTGGGCAAGAAGGGAACCAGAGCAATACCCATATGGCAAGGCTAGGTCTAAGGGCTCTAACACCTTCAGGCTTGTGGAGACCATGTGGAGACAGCTGCAGGACACAGGAGCAAGGGAAGTAGTGCAGCCCGGAAAGTGGGAAAGTGGGTTCAAGCGTGCCTGGAATGAGAACTTAAACTTGAGTGAGAGAAGGTTGAGCTGTAGAGAAAATCATCCTGGCACCTCAAGAGGAAGAACTTCTACAAGGGAAAAAAAGCATCCCTCTTCATATTCGAAGCACTTAAGTTTCTGAAAGAAGAAAAAAGGCTGAAGTCACTCTAGCCTTTCCTTGTTCACCCATGTATTGCTGTTGGTTACCTTGGAGGGACATGGAATGAAAACAGAGTACCCTGGTTTTCCTGAGCAACTTCTCCACAAACACCCAGCAAACCAGCTTCAACAAATGAGGTGGAGAGCCATGGTGTCTCACAGCCAGCCTTCCCTGCAGGCACAGCCCTGTCCCCTTGCTCTGCTCCGGGCCACCCTTCCCATTAGCAACTCAGTAGAAGTGCCTACCAACAAACTTCCTGTTTGCTTTTGCAGGAGCAGAAAAAAACTGAGTTTGGAAGGAGAAACCCCTGAAGCTCAGGGAGAAGAGGTAGACTTTCTGGGTCTCTGATGCAAAGGATTTATAAGGTTTCCAGGCTTTGTTCTGGGGGGGTCAGAGCTGTGTTGTCCCACAACTAATCATCAAAACTATCGTTCTGGTTTTTATGACTGAGTGAGCTTTCTAACCTACTCCATCTTGGCCCTATGGAATAGAAAGATATTGAGGTCAGCAGACAGATTGTGTCGTCAGTTAACTCCAGAAGGAGGAGAAGCCTGGACAGCGGGGTGAGAGGTTAAAAGTACTTCCATCTCCATGGTATCCCTTATTTGCAATAACTAGTATATGTCTGATACAAGCAGAAATGGTCAGATAAGTTGATGTTAGGCAAAATGAACCCCAAAATAAGGACTCACATGGTTTCTCTTTCTTGCTATTGTTTCTAACATATTTATAAGATGATTTCTTTGTTGTTTTGTATGTCCCTCCCCCACAGTATAACCCCTGTTTTCACTGTATTTGATGTTGGTATAATTTGGGGGGGAGGGGAAAAAATAAATTGTTTAAAAAGGGTACAGGTAGACCCACTGCAACAATGAGATATACAAGACGCTATGTCAAAAAACGAACTTTACAACTTTGTGCGGGGGCGGGGGGGGTGAGGGGGGACGCCGGGGAGGGGATGGGGGGACGGGAAGGGACGGTAAGTGGAAACAAATAAGTACAAACAAACGAGGAGGCAACAACGCTTGATGAGAAATGTACTCATTACCTTGCTCATGTAATTGTAACACCTCTGTACAGTATTTTCACAATAAAAGAAAAAAAGAAAAAAAAAAGTCCTTCCATCTGAGGCTGACAAGGTGAAAGACCCATCCTCCTTGAGGAAACAGTACTGATGATGGAGTGTATGGTATGTACTGGTGAAAGAGAAGACACCTGGACTCACCCAGAAACAGCTCACAGGCCTGGTGTCCACAAAGGACATATCATGGAAAACTCTCTTGGGCTAGTAAGACTGAGGGTGGGTATCTGTGTTATAAAAAGTTTCTTTTTTCATTTTACAAATCTAGGTTATTTCCTACTTTATGCCACCTTTTGCTCATGCTACCCCACCTAGAGATTTCACCAGACATCAGAGATGAGTCAACACCAAACTATAGGTTGGCATGAGGTTTCACCAGGCACCTGGTCCCAGGGCGGTGGCCATAAAAGCCAGAGATGGCTTAAACTGAGCTGATAGAAATAATTGACAGATTTGGTAACCAACTGCCTGTGTGAAATAAGATACAGGGAGTCATAGTGGAGCCTAAAGTTTCTGAGTGACACAATAACAACAGTACCACCAAGGGCTAGGGACAATAAGCACATGCTAAGATGCTCAACAGCACTAATCGTTAAAGAAACTTTGCAAAGCAACTGACAGTGAGCTGTCAGCTCATCTCCACTAAGAAGGCTACTTACTATGAAAATAAGAAAAAATAACAAGTGCTAGCAGTCACATGGGAAAACTGAAACTCTTGTGTATTGTAGTAGGAATGCAAAATGGTGCAGCCCTTACAGAAAATGCTATGGATGTTCCTCAAGATATTAAAAGTAGAATCACCTCATGATCCTGCTGGATTCTCCTTCTGGGTATATATCCAAAATAACTAAAGCAAGGTCTCAAAAGAAATATCTGAATACTCATGTTTACAGCAGCATTAGTCATAACAGCCCAGGGCAGAAGCAAACTGAATGTTGGTGGATAGATGGATAAAGGAAATGTGGCATACACACTATGGGGTTCATTCTATTTTAAAAAGAATATTCTACACATGCCATAGCACAGATGAACCCTGAGGACAGTGTTAGTGACAGCAGTCACTCACAGAGGGACAATACTGCATGATTCCATTTACATGAAGTACTTAGACTAGTCATAGTCATAGAAATAGAAAGGAGAACTGTGCTATCAGAGGCTGGGGGTTGGGGGAATGGAGAATTGCGTAAAGGATGTAAGGTTTCAGTTCTGCCAGATGAAGAGTTCTAAAGATTGGCTGTGCAATAGTGTGACTGTACTTAACACTTAGGAGCTATATACTTAAAAATGGATAAGATGGTCAAATTGTGTTATATAATCTTGCTACAGCAGTATTTGTTTTTTTGCCAGTCCTGGGACTTGGACTCAGGGCCTTAGCACTGTCCCTGAGCTTCTTTTTGCTCAAGGCTAGCACTCTACCACTTGAGCTGCAATGCCACTTCTGGCCTTTTCAGTTTATGTGGTGCTGAGGAATCAAACCCAGGGCTTCATGCATGCTAGGAAAGCACTATGCCACTAAGCCACATTCCTATCCCCAGTAATATTTTAATACAAGAAAAAAAACATGGTACCGAGGACACTGCAGATAGATCCATGTGGATGCTAACATCTATAGAATAAAGAACTCAAAGAAACACCGTTGTAGGTGGGCCAGAAGTAGGAGATAAATGGAAGGAAGAGAAGACAGCCAATCCCAGGGATGCAGAGAGTTGGAGGAGAAAGAAGGACTTTAAAAAAAGAAAATACAAGGAAAGAAATTGGGTCAGATGTCTGAAGTGACCAGCGGTGAGGCTGCCCACCTGTATGAGCAAAAGGCCACTGGCACTGATACTCAAGCCTGCATTCTCACTTTGGTTTCTTACCCTGTGTCTTTGTGACAATTTTCTGACTAGTAACATCCAGCAATCCTTCTATCCCAATGTTCTGGGTTATGTGAGTGAGGTATTATTAGAGTCAAGCTACTTTGTGTCTGAAGGATACTGAGATGAGAATATCTAGCCAATGGGTGAATGTTGCTTATCCCAAGACACCAAGAATAACAAAAAAGTTCTTGATAAAAACCCAAAAAGCAAAAACTTCTAAAGCAAAACTGCATTTTTCACATGGGTTCCCCTATCTTGAGAGAATTTTCACTGCAGAATTCGGGTTGCTGAGGTGCTGGGAAAGGCCTGGATAGTATGAGAATGTGAGTGAGTGTGTGTGTGTGTGTGTGTGTGTGTGTGTGTTGTTGAGGTGCTGGGAAGGGCTTGGATAACATGAGAATGTGAGGGGTGTGTGTGTGTGTGTGTGTTGTTGTTGTTGAGGTGCTGGGAAGGGCTTGGATAGCATGAGAATGTGAGGGTGTGTGTGTGTGTGTGTGTTTGTGTGTGTGTTGTTGAGGTGCTGGGAAAGGCTTGGATAGCATAAGAATGTGAGGGGTATGTGTGTGTGTGTGTGTCTGTAGGATCCAAGTGGTAGCTCAAATTCACTCAACATTGATTTTAAAATGTATTCTTGAGCACCTTCTTGAGCATTTTGTGTGTGTGTGTGTGTGTGTGTGTCTGTAGGATCCAAGTGGTAGCTCAAATTCACTCAACATTGATTTTAAAATGTATTCTTGAGAACCTTCTTGAGCATTTCCAGGCCCTAGCATATAAATCTGTGCCTATGTTT